TTGAAGTTTAATTTATGCCAAAGGTAGGGTTACAAGGTCGCACTAAGAAATTATCATGTACAAGGATAAAATATGACCCTAATTTGCTGGTTGTGACTCAAAACACAATGTAGGGTCATTGCAATCGTTGTGGTATTGGTTGCATGAGGTTCAGTTTTTGGGGCACATCATCAACTAAGGTGGTATTTTGGTGGACCCAACCAAGATTCAGGCGGTGATGCGTTGGGATGTTCCAAAGAATGCATCTGAGATCTAGAGTTTCTTGGGTCTTGCAGGGTATTAACGGAGGTTTATTTAGGACTTCTCCAAGATTGCAGTGCCTTTGACCCGCTCGACCAAGAAAAAGGTGACCTTTCGGTGGAGCCCAAATCAGCAATTGGCCTTCGAGACCCTAAGGCAGAGGTTATGCGAGACCCCGATTCTTGCGTTGCTCGAGGGATTGGATGATTTCGTGGTGTATTGTGACGCTTCCATTACGGGTTTGGGGGCTCTCCTCATGCAGAGAGGACATGTGATCGCTTACGCCTCGAGGCAGTTGAAGCCTCATGAGGCAAATTACCCCACACATGATTTGGAATTGGGGGCGGTGGTGTTTGCCCTCAAAATCTAGAGGCCTTACTTGTACGGGGTCCGATTCACTATCTATACCGATCATAAGAGTTTGAAGTATTTGATGGATAAGTCGAACTTGAATATACGACAACAGAGGTGGTTAGATGTGGTAAAAGATTACGACTGCGAGATTTTGTACAACTCCGGGAAGGACAACATGGTGGCCGATGCTTTGAGCCGTAAGGCGGTGTGCTCATCGATTCGAGATATTTGTTTGAGGATGACTGTTACTTCACCCTTGATGGATTTGATCAAGGAGGCTCAGGTAGAAGGATTGAAGAAAGAAAATTGGAAGACTGAGTGAATCAGAGGGCAGATTCCGTTATTTGTTAGAGGTAGTCAGGGTTATTGACTCGGTGTGGTAGGGTTTGGGTTCCGACGACAGGTGGGGTGAGACAGACAATTTTGGAAGAGGCACACAAGTCCAAGTTTTCTATCCATTCGGGGGCCACGAAGATGTACTGGGATTTGAGGTTGAGCTATTGGTGGCCCTGCTTGAAGAGAGAAGTTGTTTGGTTTGTTGAGCGATGTTTGACTTGCAGGAAAGTTAAAGCCGAACAGCAGCGACCTCATGAAAAGGTGCAACTGTTACCTATCCCTATGTGGAAATGGGAGGAGATCACTATGGACTTCATCACCAAGTTACCCAGGACGACGCAGGGTGTTGATTCTATATGGGTTATTGTGGACAGGTTGACCAAGAGTGCACACTTTATTCTCATTGCCGAGAGCATATCCATAGAGAAGTTAGCAGATATCTATGTTCGTGAAGTGGTAGTCAGGCACGAGGTGTCGGTGTCCGTGGTCTTGGACCGCGACGTTCGTTTCACCTCCAGATTTTGGAGGAAGTTCCACGAGGTGTTAGGCACTCAATTGCATTTTAGTACAATGTATCACCCCCAGACCGACGGTTAGAATGAACGGACGATCCAGACACTTGAGGATATGCTTAGGGAATGTGTGCTGGATTTCGGAGGAAGTTGGGATACTTATCTTCCACTAGCAGAATTCTCCTATAACAACAATTATCATGCTAGTATTTAGGAGTGTTCGTTTGGATGGATCGGTTTAATCTGATCCGATCAAGTGAATCCAAATTAACTTCGGTTTTCAAAACGTAGATCCAAATAGTCCAAACTAAATTCAAATCCGATCCGATCCAACTAAATTATAATTCGGTTGAATCGGTTTTTTACAATTCGGTTTTCAAGAATCAAGACAGTTCAACAAATATATAACTTTAGTATTAACTTACTCTATAATATAAACTAAAAAATATTATTTAATTAGTTGTGAACTAAAACTTATAAATAACTATCAAGAAAAATATATTATAGTTTACTACTTTATAGACAATTTTTTTTATAAGAAGTACATATTAAAGTATTATAATAGATGGAAAATTTTAATATACTAAAAGAATAATTTAGTAAATTTATAAATTATTAAAGATATATATTAAGAAGAACAAAATAATAAATTGCAATTCGGTTTTTTTGGACTATTCAGTTTTTATTTTATAAACCAAAACCAATCCGAAATCCAAAATAATAATTCGGTTTTGCTAAAAACCAATCCAAAAATCTGAATATCCGAACCAAATAGTCCGATCCAAATTGTTCAATTGGACAATTCGGTTTTATCCAAATAGTGAACAGTCCTACTAGTATTGATCGACCACCATTTGAGCGGTTGTATGGAAAAAGATGTAGGACCACGGTTTGTTGGGGGGAGGTCGGGCACCGGGTCATGGTAAGCACCAAAGTAGTGCTTAAGACCACTGAGTTGATTCAGCAGGTACGCAACAAATTGCGGGGTTACTGCCCGTGTTGACAGGGTTGCATATCGGCTGGATCTTTCGGATGAGTTAAGTCAGATCCATAACATTTTCCACGTATCTCAGCTGCGGAAATGTGTAACCGATGATTCCGCAGTGATCTCGTTAGATGATATTCAGGTGGATGAGCGCCTGAATTATATGGATGAGCGCCTGAAAGGTGGAGTAATGGTTCAATAACACAAAAATAAAAATTAAACATCAAGCATCAAGCCATATTCGTGTTAAGAGTTCGAATTTAGGTTTTAAATCCAAACCGTTGCTAGAGATAGAAGACAAAAGAGGGGAAGAGAAGGATTCGCTTTGCTTTATGTGTGTGTGACAGAAGAACGTATTTTAATTTTGCTGGTGACAGAAGAACGTATTTTAATTTTGCTGGGGTATCATACCTTGCTATTTTTAATTATATAAATTGAAGAGTTGTAGATCCAATTTTTTGATTATAAGGCATTTTACTTTTTAACATCCATCCAATAATTGCATTGTACTTCTAGTATTTGTCTTAATAAGACATTATACTTCCGATATGTCATGTCGCTTTACTAGTATATATATAGCATCTGCAACGTTTGTTGTCGTTGAAACCAACTAAATACAACCATAAAAACAGTTTCACTGATAAAAAACAAGTTCAATTGCCATTTTAAAAAAATGAATGAATTTGAAAAATAAAAAATAAAAACAAGAGTTCCATACGATCGGTCACTAACCGACATCCAAATTCGGTTCCCTCTCTCATCCAACACGACCCTAATCAGCTAAATCGCACACATCATTACAAATTTACAACCATCGCTGCTCTCGTCGTTGATATTTACAACCATGGCTACTTCTCCTCATCGATTTTCATAGCTCGGTGCATGCTCCTATTTCCCCTGCCCTCACCCACAGCCTCTCCCCTTCGATTCCCAACCGTGAAACCGCTACCGAATCATTTTAATCCATCCAAATCGCTATTAAAAGGTATGTATTGGTTTCTTTACTCGTTTCCTTTCCTATCGACTTCCGACACTCCGTCTATCATCTATGTTCACATGCAACCCAAAAATTGTGATTTTAATGCATGTTATGTGTTTGATGAAATGCCTGAATGATTTTTTTTTGTTTGATTATTGACACTCCATTTATGATCACTAATTTGAACTTTTGTTTAACTGTTTGTAGCGAAATTTTTATAAGAATATGAACAAAATTCATTTATAATTTTAACTTTTGTTTATGTAGTGATTATTTTTTTCAAAAAGATAAACAAATTCATTTTTAAGTTTAACTTTTGTTTTACTGTTGGTAGTAAAATCACATGTAAGTAAGCTGTAACCACCAAGTATTTTCGGTATGTATTTAGTTATGTCCTAAATTTATCTTCCAACAATTTTGCATTTTGTGTGCACATAAATGTGTTTTTATGCTGCGTAGCTGCTTGGTAATGCAGGGGTTAAATTTTTTCATCAACAATTTATTTCTTTTTCTATGAAGAAGGTATAAACCTTGAGATTTTAGATGGTGTATGTATTGGGTTTCTTTTTCACCCTATAGTACCAAATTAAATGTATGACCTTTCTTTTTCTTGCCTTAAACTGCTTTATATTTAATTGGGAACTCCTTTTTTGGATGTGCATTGCCCTTGGTTCTCTTTCATGCTTGAACCACCATTATTTTTCCTGTTTTAAGTTATATGTAATGTTGCTGTGATAAAATTTAATTTTGGCTAAATGGGAAACCTCTATTATACAAATTCTCTCTTGTGGTTGTTTTTCCTATTGTTATGCAATTTGAATTCATTACGCTTAAATTCAAGAAATGAATTTATTAAGAAAACGAAAAACCACAGCAGATCATAGTCCTGGAACAATATTATAAAATGAAAGAGCCTTTAATAGTTAAACTTTCTTGCTTTTTTTTTTTTTTTTTTTTTTCACTTGAAAATCTGAACAGATTTTATAAAATCATTTCCTAGATTTCTGCTCCTCATTCTTTGTACTCCAGTGATTTTAAGCATGTGACAAGAACAGAAAGTCCATGAATAACTTTATTGATACGAATCATGTACTTAGAGTTAAGATGAATTGCGATTGATACACTATGTAAATACTTCTATATATATGGTGTAAAACTCTGTTGGTATTTGTGTTTGAATTTTTATTATATTTGACATAAATTGTTAAAAAATGCTACTGTATATACTAAATTTACCAATGTTATTTTTCTTGAAATCCAAGTGATGGAAATAGTTGTTGCTAAGTTTCAACCGAGCATAAAACAGATAAAAAGTCATTGCTAAATTATAGACGTAACTTCTATAGCTAATCCATTTCGTTGGACTTGTCAGTTGCTAATACTCATTTTCCAGTAGTGAGTTTCTAGAAGTATAACAATCTTTATTAACTTATTTGTTTTCTAGTAGATTACAACAACATAAACGAAGAAATCATATGAAAGATTTGATAACATAAAGGCATTCAAATGAATATTTGTTATCAGGATGCATAGTGGGAACTTGAGAGAAGTAAAAAACACTAAGACTACACTATATCAGGCCAGAGATGTCAACTTAAAGCAAATTCTTCATTAATATATTTGAAACTTGGCGCATTGTTGGCCTTTCATGTGGATTGAAGTTCAAACATACTCTTGAGAGACTCAGTAAAGAGTTAACTTGTTTCTCAACTTGTAGTGAGGGAAGTGAAATCCGACTATCTCCCACATTTGCTAACACCAAATAATCACCAGACAATGTTGGTAGTTCACCAGGATGCTTTCCCATGATCACTTCTAGAGCAACAATGCCAAAGCTATACACATCACATTTCTCAGTTGCCACCATTGTATAAGCAAGCTCTACAAACGAACATGAGATAAATAACAAAAAATTAAAAAATTAAAACGATATCAACGAGATTCTAACATAGATGCATATGTACATATACCTATATTTATATACATTATAAAACTTAAGAAAACATAGAACTAACGTCACAAGATTTACGTTACCTGGTGCGATATAACCATAGGTCCCCGCAATTGCGGTCGAGTTGGATGAGTCTAGCTTCAAAAGCTTGGATGTGCCAAAATCAGATATGTGTGCCTCATAATCAGAATCGAGAAGTATGTTGGATATGGAAATGTCTCTATGAATTATAGGTGGTGTGCAATCGTGATGCATATAAGCCAAACCATTAGCTACAGCCTTTACAATATTTACCCTTTTAAACCAATCCAATTCTTTTGCTAAGATATCACTACTTAAGATTGATCCCAGACTTCCCTTTTCTAGGTATTCATAAATCAAAAACGAGTGGCGGGTATGGGAGCAATATCCATAGAGTTTCACTATGTTTCGATGCCTTATGTTTGTTAAAGCTTGTACCTCGTTAAGGAAACCATTACGATCAACATTCTCAGATGATGAGTGAAGCTTCTTGACAGCGACCACATTGTTAGGTTGTAGCTCGGCTTTGTATACAATACCGTATCCTCCTCTTCCAATACAGTATGCTTCATCAAAGTCATTTGTTGCCTTCAAGATATCATCATACACTACTCTTCCATCAAAACCTGTTATGGAGAAATACTCACCATCTTCTTCGTCTAATGGTTTTTGTGGAGAATTTTTCTTTTGTTGACGATAAGCAATGAGGCCACATGTGAATAAACCAAGTAACATCGCCCCGATAAGAGGGAGCATAATCAATAGGATAAGCCTATTATGAAAATGATCATTTTTCTTCTTCATAATTTGACTTGCACAAAGTTTCAGTCCGGTTACATTTCCACACAAGCCTGGATTGCTTTGTATGGACGCATTTACAAAGTTTGCGGAAGTGGGAACTGGACCTCTGAGCTCATTGTAAGAAAGGTCGATATCAATTCCGCTAGGCAAATTTGTAAAAACATTAGGAATAGAACCAAATAGTCTATTATGAGAAAGATCCAATTTCTGCAAACTTTGCAAACTTTGAACTTCAGATGGTATCTCTTCCGTGAGCAAATTATGAGATAAATCAAGTTTCGTAAGTTGACTCAATTTACCAATCTCGGATGGGATTTTTTCACGGAGCTTGTTACCACTAAGATTCAAGTTGTAGATGTGTGTCCAATTACCAATAGTTCTAGGTATCGCACCATTCAAACTATTGTTGGATAGATCAAGTTCTAGTAGTTCATCGCATGATCCGAGCTCCGGAGGTATAACAGCTGAAAGTTGGTTATGGGCCAAGCACAAATACAACATACCTTTCATCTTCCCGAACTCCTTTGGGATTTCACCAACAAAATAATTTGACTGCATTTTAAGCCTTTGTAGTTGAGTTGAATTTCCCAATTCCGGAGGAATAGTACCACTAAGTTGATTGTTGCTCACGAGAAGATCAGTGAGAGACTTCAAATTCCCAAATTCAGTAGGAATTGGACCATACAACTTATTCTCAAAGAGGTACATACGGTGTAGGTTGCTCAGGTTTGCTAGTGATGAAGGAATAGAACCACTAATTTGATTATTGGACACCACAAGCTCAGTGAGAGCCACCAAATTCCCAAGTTTAATGGGAATGGGACCGGATAATTTATTCCCATACATGTTCAGAATTTCTAGGTGGCTCAGGTTTCCTAAGGATGAAGGAATAGAACCACTAAGCTGATTGCTGCTCATCTCAAGATCAGTGAGAGAATCCAAATTCCCAAATTCAATAGGAATGAGACCAGTTAAATTATTCTCATAGAGGTACATCTGTTGTAGTTTTCTCAGGTTGGCTAGTGACGAAGGAATAGAACCACTAAGTTCATTGTGATGGAGATACATATACTGTAGATTGCTGAGGTTTGCTAGTGATGAAGGAATTGAACCACTAAGTTGATTGGTGTTCACTCTAAGAAGAGTGAGAGACTTCAAATTACCAAGTTCAACAGGAATGGGACCAAATAAAATATTCTCATGGAGGTACAGAGACTGTAGGTTGCTAAGGTTTGCTAGCGAATGAGGAATGGAACCACTAAGTTGATTGTTGCTCAGATGAAGTTCAGTGAGAGACTTTAAATTCCCAAGTTCTACAGGAATGGGACCAGAGAGTTGATTATGGTACAAATAGAGGACATTCAACGATTTGAAATCACCCAATGATGAAGGAATTAAACCCGAAAGTTTATTGTTATAGAGATATAGATAAGCCAACTTTGTTAAATTACCGGGTAATGGTGGCAATTCGCCTTCAAGAAAATTATCATACAGTCGAAGCTCATAGAGAGAGGTCAGTTGACTTATCTCTTGTGGTATTGAACCACTCAAGTTATTATGATCCATGTAGAGGTACTCAAGATTGGCTAGCATCCCTATTTCATGTGGGATTACTCCAGAAAATGTATTTCCTGAAAACTCTAGATTGACAAGTTTGGACAGGAGTCCGATTTCTGGTGGGATGGGACCAAAGAAGTTGTTTACACTGAGATCAAAATGTGTAAGATTTTGTAGCAAAGAGAATGAAAATTGGTGAAGCGTACCCTTTAATCCAGATGATGTGAGGTTCAACTTTTGAATGATCCCATCCGAATTACAAACCACTCCAAACCAAGAAGTGCATGGAGCCGATGGATTGGAATTCATAGGGAGGGGAATCCATGAAGAGACTGAGGAGTTATTTGGGATTTGAAGGCTTGCTTTCCACTTAAGAAGAGCATTGGCTTCCTCCAAAGAAGCAGAAGCAAGATTTGGTATGGGGAGGAGTGTAATGATTCGTAGAGCTACAAAGAAAAACAAGAAGTTTGAAGAAGACATTATTTGTTTTGCCATGTTACTTTTTGAAAAAAAAAATGATTCGCCTGTCCTCATTTATACTTGGGCTACTCTTTTCTATTGTTTGTTTGTTTTTATTTGTTTTATCTTTTTTAATATCTCTTATTGGAAAAGGAAAATGTCAACATGTCTTATTTTTCCACACGGAGTGTCCTTTTTCTGAGAAGTCATTGTCATATTTTTCCACAAGGCTGATGGTATTTCTCGAGACAATGGTATCATATTTCAACCATTCAATCAGAAGTGTAATATTATTTTAATTGATTTGTTACACATGTATTTTTTGTTTTTCAGTTAATTGTAATAAAATGTTCATGTGCAAGCGAGTATAGTTGGTTCCCAAATCAAACTGGTTTCAGTTACTATTGTTTCAAATTAGATACGAAACAGTTTTTTTTTTTTTCTTGAATTAAATTTCAATAATTGAAAACTTACCACTTGAATAAAGTTTCCATGAAAAATCTTGATCAACAAAAATTTCTAAGCTTTTGATAGCTAAAGTTGGTATGCAAAGACAATATGGAATGCGATGTAGAGTGTGTTTTACTTCAGAAATCAATGTTTTTGGTGGATGACTACGTTACTTGGGTCAATGGTGAAGGCTCATTTATAACAATCTAAAAAATGAATGGACTAGTGCATTCCTTGAACGTGTGGATGAGGGAAAAGAAGATAATTTATCTCATCCGTCCTTGTTATCATCTCATTCATCATCTGCTGGAGCGTTAGTCATCATAATGTTTTGAATTGAAAGTTATTTGGTATTATGATCATCTAAACTAAGTCTCATACTAAGATTGACTAAAATCTGAACATTAATAAAACTACATCATTTTACATATAACACTACTAAAAAACTACCGTGTTTATGACGACCCTTTACGTCAGTAATCCATCTCAAACATGCTTTACTGATAGAATCTCGAATTCTCGATGGAAAAAAAAATTATTGCCTAAAACATGTGGTTAAATATTTTCAATGAAATACTGACGGATTATGTGACAGATTACCTACAGATCTTGCTATTGTTAAGACGGTAATAACCTACAGATATCGACTGATTAACGAAAGACGATATTATCAACAAAAGACTAATGGGTTGCATTGGTGACAATTTTCTGATTTTATAGACGGATTACCGGCGGTATGTTTGCTTAATTTAGTGACAATTCCAGTTGGAAATACATCGTAAAATGGCAATTTAAAAATCTGAAAAAATTCAATGAAAGTCTATATTTTTTCTGCCGAAAATGCATGCGGAACAAATCAATACAAGAAATAACAAAGTCTCTTTGACAACAAAAAAATATTAAACTTAATTCTAAAAATTGTGAGATTCATATTTCGTACACTTAGTTAAAATCTCTTACATGTATAGCATCACAATCCTAAATAGTAACATTTTAAATTGTTCCATTCTATTTCTTAATTTTGTGGCAGCTTATCCCCCCAATTCGCACCTAAATATTCTAATTAACCATGAATCATAAAAGGAGGCTCAAGGAAGAGTTTGGTTAGTAAGCATTTGCACGATGTGTATCACCTTTCACTGATGTAAAAGTTCTTATTGTGCTCATTTATTTTGTTCTTATTATGAGTTCAAACATGGAGTTTTGTTGAAAATCTTGGAGATGTCTTTATACCTATTAAGGAAGTCAAATAATATCAATTTAAAATTGGATGTAATTTTAGATAGGATTTACTGTTGTATGATTGCCCTAGATTAACTCCTTGATTTTCTCTATTTTCCTTCGTATACATCCTGTAATCAACTATAATTAGCCATAGAGTTTCAATACAAAAATTGTATATTAACACAAAATCCCTATTTTGTTATATGGTATCAGAGCTACCACAGCTCCGGCGAGCCCTAAACTACCGATCTTGAATTCCTCTTTCATTTCGGCAATATGTCAACAGAAACAGTGATTCAAATCACAGCCAACAACCATTTTCCCATCAAACTGACCACCAACAATTTTCATGTATGGAGAAAACAAATCCAATCAGCTCTCATTGGTCTTAGGGGGTGTTTGGCTTGTCTTTTTGAGAGGCAAAAGTGCTTTTTGGAAAATTTACAAAAAGTCAGGTTTTCTAACTTTTCCAAAAAGCCAGTTTTCCTTCTATCTAAAATCCAAAAGTAACTTTTAAAATGTTTTTACCAAACATCTTTTAGCCTTTATCTTTTCCAAAAAGGACTTTTGCCTCTCAAAAAGACAAGCCAAACACCCCCTTAATCTAGATCGATTCATTATTGGTACACATGTACCCCCTGCACATTTTCTGGAATCTTCAAAACCAAACCCTGCTTTTTCTCTTTGGTATCGGCAGGATCAAACTATCCTCAGTGCTATCTTGGGTAGCTGCTCAGATACGATTCAACCACTGATTTCATCTGCTGACACTTCACGTGAAGCCAGGGAGCGACTGGTTACCAGCTATGCTAATGCCTCCCGTTCCAGGGTCATCTCCCTCAAAGCAAAATTGGCAAAGAACCCTAAAGGAACTCGATCAATTACCGAGTTTCTTCATGATATGAAAGCGATTGCTGATGAACTAGCTCTTGTCTAGTCACCGGTTACCGATGAAGATCTACTTGTCCATATCCGTGGGCAATTAGTAGAAGAATATCAAACAATGCCTCCCCATCTGCTAATGTTACTACCTCTCGTCCTATTCCATCATCCTCTTGGATGTTTGATAGTGGTGCATCACACCATGTTACGTCTGATCTTGCCTCCCTTCACAATCCTTCTGATTACGGTGGTCCGGATGAGATTGTCCTTGGTGATGGTAAAACTCTCTCCATTACTCATACCGGTCACACTCATCTTCACACACCTTCTGGTCCAATCTCTTTAAAAGATGTTTTATGTGTTCCTAAACTTCAAAAACAACTTACTTCTGTTGCGAAATTATGTAAGACTAACCGGGTTTCTGTGGAATTTTTTCCCACACATTTCTTTGTCAAGGATCTTCGCACGGCGGCGCGTCTAATGCGGGGGGTGAATTACCTTGATGTCTAATATGCTAGCCTTCCATCCATGCCTCAACTCAACTCAGTCACAACTGTTTCGTCTCTTGATTGGCATCATAAACTTGGGCATCCTTCGCTTCGTATTTTCAAATCATTAGTCAAATGTTTAGGTCTTAATTTTAATTTTCAAAAGTTTCATTGCAATTCGTGTTCCATCAATAAAAGTCATAAAGTCTCGTTTGGCATGAATTCATTCACTACAAAACCCTTGCAACTCGTTTATTCGGATGTTTGGGGACCTGTAGAAAAATCTATTGATGGCTTCACTTATTACATTATATTTGTTGACTATCATACAAAATACATTTGGTTATACCCAATGAAATACAAATCGGATGTCTCCACACTTTTTCCCCAATTCAAATTACTGGTGGAAAAGTACTTTCAAACTCCCCTCATCTCTCTATTCACTGACAATGGTGGAGAATATGTGGGTATCACTCCTTTTCTCCAGTCTCAAGGTAGGTATCTCCCATTTCACTACCCCCCCCCCCCCCCGCGCATACCCCAGAACAAAACGGCACTGTTGAACGGCGTCACCGCCACATTGTGGAAACCGGTCTAGCACTTCTTCATTATGCCAATCTTCCACTCTCCTTCTGGACCTATGCCTTTCAAACAGCGGTTTATCTCATAAATCGCTTACCAACTCCACTTCTTGACTCTCAAAGCCCCTATCAAGTACTCTATAAAAAAACTCCAACATACTCAAAGCTTAAACCGTTTGGTTGTCTGTGCTACCCTTGGCTTCGCCCGTATGCCAAAAGTAAGTTACATCCCCGTTCTAAACAATGTCTTTTTCTAGGTTATTCTCCTTCCAAATCGGCCTATAAGTGCTACGACCCCACCGGTCATCGTCAATACCATTCCCGACATGTGGAATTTGTTGAAAGCATTTTTCCTCACAAAATGTCTATCACTACCTCACCCACCATTCCCACAACCGATACATTCCTTTTTCCTTCAACACCACCAACTCCAACCTCTTCCAATATCCCTAGCATGCCTTCTCAACATCAACAGCCCTCACACCTATCTCCCACTTCATCACCACCATCCCCTCCTACGCAGGAAACTGAACCCACTCCTCATGCATACCATCAGACTCCGCAACACCACAACACTAATTTCTTTGACCGAATAACCTCCACACCAGCCTCCGAACAGCCCACAAACACCATGCCATCTGCTGCCCAGCAGTCCCCATTTTTCACCTACCGCCGCCACCGTGAAGGCCCAACTCCCACCAAGTTTTTTCACTGCCAAACAACAGCCCAAACCGACCAAGCAACAACCCAAAATGTTGTTGTCCGCACTGCAGAAATCCTTCAGACAGAACCCCAAACTGTTACTACTAACACACAAACAAACCCCACCTCGATCCCTCACACAACCGCCCAATTTGTTCCTGATCCACAATTAACCTCCAATCACCCCATGCTTACCGTCCAAAACAGGCTGTTTAAAACAAACTGCTCCCATCATTAACCTTTCCACCCTTCCCCCGGTTCCTTCAACCATTGAACCCACTACACACAATCAAGCTCTAAAATATCCCGAATGGCGCAAGGCAATGGCCAATGAATTTAATGCTCTTCTAAAGAATTCCACATGGGAACTTGTTCCACCTTCCAACCACAAACCCATTGATTGTAAGTGATTGCTTCGTATCAAAAGACGCCCGGACGGGTCCATTGACAAATTTAAAGCTTGTCTCGTGGCAAAAGTCTTCCTTCAAGAATATGGCAAAGATTATTTTGAAACCTTTAGCCCCGTTACTAAACATGTCACCATTCGTACAGTTCTCTCCATTGCCCTGTCTCAAAGTTGGTCCATCAGACAACTTGATGTCAACAATGCCTTTTTGCATGACACCTTGCATGAAGATGTTTATATGTCCCAACCTCCAGGTTATGTCAATCCGGATCTTCCCACTCATCTTTG